TTTAATGTGAACGCGTTCAGACGCTCCGATAGTTTCACCCAGGACGCAGCTCAAATTGAAGTGCGTTTAGACGCAGTCAGTTTTGTACTGCGTCTAGATGCTCCGATTGTTTCACCTGGGACGCGCTCAATTACTGTGATTTAGACGCGATTCGGACGCGATGAAAGCGCGTTTAGATCCAAAAAATGCTTACATGGGCGTGACGAGAAGAGAAAATAATTGCAAAGTCAATGGCGACGACAAAGCAGTTCTTTTTCGTGGCGTACTTTTTGTACGATGTGTACTCTATTCGGCACAAAGCGCACTTTAGTTACATCATTTAGATATATACGAGCATGATATTCATCCATCCATTCCACTTGGAAGCTTTTAGGCACAGCCAACGGCTGTCGTGGTAATCCCTACCGAATGACTCTTGAATTATGACGATGCGATATGTGGTATATATTAGTTGTAATAATAAGTTCCAAATTTGGAGTAGGAAACTTCTCGACCAATAAGGTAGGTGATATAAACTACGAGAACAATTATTTTTTGTCTGAGCTTTGAAATAAATTTATCAATTGTTATTAATCGATGTCATTATATTACAGATACTTCACAGACCATTTTCTTGGAATACTCGTTAAAAGTAACAACAGATAGTCAAAGGGATGCAAAGGATTGCGCTCGCTCACTTCATTTCATGCTTTTTCACGTGATGAATTATCAAAAGTAGTATCTTTTCTACAAATTATATTTATCATGATCTCATCAATATTGTTTTCTCAATTTTAATATTTCCAAACGAACATTTATGACAAGTTGAATGTAAAAAATATCTTTTAATATCATCGATCACTTCTTGTTTTCTCAATTTTGATATTTACAATCAAATGATGGTTTGCTGAACCTCATTCACACGAATGTATTTTCTCTGTTAATCATTCGATTCTTTCGTGTAGTTCGAAATCGATGGAGATTCTGTTGAACGTGCTGTTACAGTTTATCAACATGTGAATTTTAATAGAGAATAATAAAAGCAAACGTGTTGCTCGACAAGTCATATTTTGTCTACAAAAGTTTCGTCTAAAAAGAAGAAGTCCATTGTACCCTCGTTCTGCGTGTATTAACTATGTCGATTGATTCACAACGCTCGTGATAGCAACAATAAAAATGCCAATAAAAACGATGAAATAAAGCAAAGTTTCTATCGGAAATTTCATGTACTTTTGATAACTGTTTGTGTAACACATGATTTTAATAGAATCAGAACCTCGATGTTGTTCTATCAACTGTGCAATAGCTGTTTGCGCATAATTTGAAATGGCTAAAATTTGATGATCCGTAATCTGGGTGTATATCGGAATAGTAAAAAATCTATTAATGTATCCCGGCAACGCATTTTCAGATACTTTAATCATGTGCGAATGTAAAAGGTTTCCATTGATTCGAAACACATGCCAATTCCAAATAGTAAGACCAAGATAAACTACGGCTGAAACGACTGGAAATGCGACATACGCTTTCACATTCGAACTTAAACTTCCCAACACGAACGAAACGACTACGACAGCGAATATAAGCAACCGATAGAGCAAAAGACGACCTCCTCTCATTCGTTTTTTTCCAGTTGTGTTATCAAATGATTCAAAGCACGTTACAGCATGATTATATTGGGACGCGTCGNAATGCGACATACGCTTTCACATTCGAACTTAAACTTCCCAACACGAACGAAACGACTACGACAGCGAATATAAGCAACCGATAGAGCAAAAGACGACCTCCTCTCATTCGTTTTTTTCCAGTTGTGTTATCAAATGATTCAAAGCACGTTACAGCATGATTATATTGGGACGCGTATGTATTTCGAACCCAAGCTAATTTTCCAGTTGCTTGAGGTGTGCCAATAGTAACTTGAGCAGTGAGGGAGCGGCCCGCAGCAATACCCATGGATCCATCACTGATTGTTGAAACACGATTATTCCACATGAAAAGTTTTATCCTGAATTGATCACGTTAATATAAAGATCACAAATGGTCTTTTCTCCAGGAATCAACTTGTAAAGGAACAGTAAAAATACTCCCAACATGAGATATTGTATCAGAAAGCATGGTGGCTATATTGACTAAAGATGAAGTTCTGTTATTTGCATGTCGATAAATCTTAAATATCGTAAAAGAGTTACTTTGATCTTTAATCACAATAAAAGTAGGAAAAAATTAAGTACACTAGATTTACGTTTCGTCATCGAAGAATTTCAAGTTGGAATATATGTAATTTAATTTCTTTTTGTATTTTGTGATACTTACAATGCGCTGCGCATCTCATTCGAGTGATCGTAGTCAATGTGTGTCATGCTGTATAGCAAGAAAGACTGTAGAAATGGGAATTTCCAAGTGTATAAACCTCATCTATTCACAAATCATAGTTCATTTTTGTTGGACACACAATTACCTTGATTTTCTTATTTATTTACTACTGGTATCAACATCAGAGTGTTTCTGTGTTGCACGATGTTTTACATTATAGTAAGTGGGTCTATGGGCGTGTGTTGTTGCTTGAAAAATCTTTTATGGCCTGTATGAAGGGCACGAATTCGTTATCAATGTAATTCTTGTGATCAAGCAGCAAAAGGAAGTTCAACACACTCGAAAAATTATTCAAACCGAAAGAGATCAATATTTTGAACTGACAAAGCGAATGGGTCTTCATCGATTCATCCATATATAGACCAAATAACATAGCGATTGAAAAATAATTTGTTTTTTTTTCGTTACATTAGTTTCTGGATAAGACAATCAAGAGTGAAACCAATCATCTCCATGATTTATCCTCTCTGTTGAGAATCAAACACAAAATAACGACCTGATCATAGCTCACCTGTACTCAGCGAAACTCGTTCAAAAATGATAAACAGGAAGAATTTAGTTTACTTTCTCTAATTCAGTAGTATAGTGACAACCATGAGGGAGAAAATCTCATTTGAGATGTTTCGAAACATTCTGTCCGAGCGAAAGATCTTCGGAGTTTTCCTTGTGCAGGTGATTGTAAAAGAAATTCAAAAAGTTAAAGTGTTAGCTTAGAATTGCAAAGCAACGCGTTGTGATACGATCGAAAATTATTTCTTTTCGTTTATTTCTGATTGATTTTTCTGATTTCTTGAAAAGACTTTATTGATAATAAATGAGAAAAAAGTTTAAGGATTTGATAAAAGACAAATATCATTCGGTGTTATTGCTTGACTGAAAATATAGAATTCATCAATAGCACCGACAAATTGTCCCATTCCGATCGATCCTCTTTGACAAGAAGTTGCATTCGTCGGTGAGGAACCAAGAAAAACATAAGATCCAACGGGCGAACGTGTTGATAGTGATGCATTTGACATAATCAGAGTTCCATTTATATAGAAGTCGGTTCCACTTGATGGATCATATCTTTGAAGAAGATGAGTCCATTGATTCAACGGAAANCCGATCGATCCTCCTTGACAAGAAGTTGCATTCGTCGGTGAGGAACCAAGAAAAACATAAGATCCAACGGGCGAACGTGTTGATAGTGATGCATTTGACATAATCAGAGTTCCATTTATATAGAAGTCGGTTCCACTTGATGGATCATATCTTTGAAGAAGATGAGTCCATTGATTCAACGGAAATGAATTTGAAATCATCATTGATGTGAGCTGATTTGATGAATCAATGAAATTCACAATCAATGAACCATTCAAAGAGAATCCCCACAAGGAAAAACAAACACCCAAACCTAAAAAACAACAATAAAAACAAATGAAAACCATTTGCGAAAAGATAAGAAATGTTCACCATCAGATTGAGTTGATGTGTGAAGAAATGTTACACAAGCACCAGTGAAACTCAATGGTTTAATCCACATGGAGATTGTGAATGGAGAATTCAACATATTGAAAAAATTAACTCCTTCAATTGTCACATATGACAATGAAGATGAGAATTGTATTCCTTGATTCACTCGTCCACTTGTTTGGATTCCATTTGAATTGGTGGCATTGATGCGGTTTGGTCCTGAATCAATCAAAGGTGAGAAGGATTCGAACTGGAAATAACAGAAAAGTCTCGCATTTAAGTAGATTTCACATGGACTTTTAACTCGATAACTTATTCCAAAATGATCAATAGAACCAGAATAATAAACAGTCGGTTGCGCATCCCCACCAATCTGACCACCTCCAATCGTAAATAATCCTGTTGTTCCAAGAAAATTATTACCTACAGTTCGATTCCCGTCTAAGACACCATTCAAGTAAATCGGTTGTTGTTTTACTGTTGAATCGTACACAAATGTTACATGATACCATCGATTTATTGATAAATTTGTAGTGGCATGTGTCATCACCAAAAAATCCTATGCGAAGAAGTTTGAAACGAACATTGAGAAATAAACACTCATCTGTTGTTGATGATTGGCATTCACCTCCAAACTGAAGATCCTTAAAACTTGTGAGATCAGTGACATAAAACCACAAATCAATCGTAAAAGAATGGGAATCTAATGGAATGTGTGTTTGAGTTGAAAGATACTTTGAATTATTATATGTGAAATTAATAGCTGAACCAATCCATCCAGGTACGTAACTCAGTGTAAAATTTCCGTTCAGTGAATAATTCCCGACAGTATCGAATGTGTTATTATCAAATGTGTAAAATGCAAATGTTGATGTTCTTGATATTGTTGTATTTAAACATGAATATCCACAAGAGACATTTTTCGGTGCTGAAAATGGAAAAGATAAGTTTTATTATCCGGAAACGTCGTATCAGAGTAGATTCTCTGCTGGTGAAGAGAAACAGGTCGTTTACAGAAGCTGCTTTTGCGCATATGTTTATATTTTTAGAGAAAATAGCTTCAACTACACTCATACATAGACAACATTAGTTCTGATCTTATTGTTCTCAAGATCACTTCAAGTTGACCTACCTGGAGGTGAACATTGATTATTCGGTCCTAAACAGAAGATCAATGATGACAATGTCATCACAACAATCAACTGACCTTGATTTCTTCGATAACAGATCACACTCGCTCGAACATCTCCAGATGATGTTATATTACCAGATTGACAATCGTCACTAAACATGAAACAAGTTCGATTGTTATGAAAATAAACAGCTGTTCGACATTGATCTTGATGAGCACATTGCCAAATACAAGATTGAATCGATGGGTCGGTTGGCAAAGTGATATTTGAAAGGAGAGCACAAGAAGAATTGGATTGATAGAGTGAAGATCGATGAACTTGGCTTATGATAATGGCATTGATTGGGCAGATAAGAAGAGAAATGATCAGAATTAAGTTCACTATCATATGTGTTGCTTTGTTAACTGAAATAGAAGAGAAATAGAATGAAAAATAAGGTAAATGTAAAGGGGAGTAAGAATGTTTTTGAAAGAAACTGTGACATTTTCCAAACAAAAATCTTTTTTTATCACGGATTCTCTGTGCTAAAGGAAATAGGGAGAAAAGCTTGGGATTTTTGCCATTGATTTTCTTTTCTGTGAATTCTCTTATGTAGACAGACACAAAACCCGTATTGACACATTTTTCTCAAAGAACAATACGCACTGTTGCTTATCTAAGAAAATCATAAGTTTAAATGAGAATAAGAAGGAAGGCATCAAATACTGAAAATAATTTACGTCAAAAGAGAGTGCGTTGATAGTCGTGTGTGCAACATCAATGAAATAATACTTATGTCAACGTTTATAGCTTTTACAGGGAGAATGAACAGCGTTTTTAAGTAAATCCGACAGTATTCAATATTGACTTTCAACCCCTTTATCAGTCCAACATTTTGTTTGGTTTCTGTTCAATATAATCTACAGATTCTTGTCAATTGAGCTTAGTTCCTTACGCTCACGCTCCTCACAACATTTTCTCGTAAGTAATTAGATCTCCCTGTGTGCATTTATCACTCTTTATGAGACCTTTAAAGTCACAGATCGGACGAGGAACAAATAATGAACGTAAATGAATAAAAATAGTTGTCACACCCACTGAAATTTGTGTAAGAAATAATGACAATGAAGCATTTAATGGATACAAACATTATATTGCGTTTGATCATGTCTACTTGGAAGAATGTTAAATAATGTTATTTGAGCAAACACACGGAAAGGTTTACCGACTAGAAAGTAGTGTGATATACAATCAGTATTGTGTTGCACAATTGGAGCTCTAGAGAGACTCTTCGTGTTAAGGGAGAAGCACGCTTCTAGAAATCGTTATTTGATCGAGTTCAAGATATGTTTTAGAAAAAGAAGCGTACGGTCTTATGTCAATCTTTACCTATTTTATTTTCACTAACGGACATCTTATTGAAATGTCAATATAACTACGAAATAATGTTAAAAATGTCTTCATTTGTTCGTCTCGAGAACGACATAATTGCTAAAAGGAAATGATAAACTGGAAATCGAACGAATTGCATACAATTTCATTCGTCTATGTGTCCCGTACTTGATAATTCTTTATATTACAAACCAAAGGAACTAAAGTTTTTTCATGTATAACCTTTCCATTTCACTCATAAACAAGGATGTCGATTATAAAAATTCTAGTCGCATTACTGATATCTCAAAACGATCGAGAATTTTGTCCATGGAAATGCTGTGAGGTGTACAAAATCAACAGCTGATCGTATTTGAAGTTGATCTTGGTTACCGAGCGAAGAATTCGATCTTTGTTCATTAACATTATAACATTCCTCGAAATGAGAAAACACGTTCTCAGAAGAACAAATAACTACAATTTGTATAGAAATCATCAGCTTATAGGATGAACAATCCATTATTTCATAACGAGATTTCATGAATTTTCAATTATCGACTCTCTTCTCGAGAGAATATTCTCACTACTTTATGTGGATGAGCAATTACAAAGGCACAGATTGCGATAAGAACTTCAGATACTTTCTACAAGTAATTTACAAATGTGTTCAATAATTAAAGAAAACATTTTCATACAATTCGAATGCCATTTCCTTAAATAACACATTACTTTTTTTTTTTTTTAAATTTCTATAAAACTGAGTCTTCTTCACCGTTTATATCGATTATTTCGTATTTGACAAAGAACACATTTCTGATTGATTCCTCTTACATTTTTCAATCCGAGTGATGCAGAAAGATTTGTTGATAAATGATCTTTGATCCGTAGAACATTTTAATAATATTTTGATAGTCGTGAGGAAAACTATTGTAGCGTTTCTGTATTGACACAATCGAACGTGTAAGAAGAAATAGTCTCGGCAGTGACAATCTCAAAAAAGAAATGCTGAGCACCTTTGAATATTCATAAATTAATATAACTTTGTTATCGTTCGTATTAATCGGAAATTACAATCAGAAGATTGAAGATATTTCTGTTTTTGAATCAAGAAACTCGTCATATTAGATATCTGAAGAAAAGAGACCCAGATGGTAATTACGTTCTCATATGAGTAAAAACATAGAATAGAATCTCACTTTGTGTACATTCTGTTACATTTGACTTTCATCAACATTTCTCAGGGGTTATCTAATATCTTAAAGAGAATCTAGTTTTGATTAACATTAAACAAAGTAAAATGAATACTGTAATCATACATCGTCTAGTATAATCACGAATGTCAATAACGACGAGTTTATTGAAGGACGCAAAAAAAGTGTTATAGATAATGGATGAAATTTTTATTTGCATTAACTTTTACTATAACTGTCCATAGATACGAAAAGAGATGCCTGCCTTTCAGATTTCTGCCTCGAAAGCATTTCTTTTCTTCGTTCATTTGTAGCAACTTCCCACATTATAATGGAATTCTTTATTCTCCGTATAAAGGTACCGCGTTTGTTTTCAACAAAACTACCTACAAAAGTAACGAAGAGTCTTCGTATTTTGATAGTTTCACAAATATATTGAAGTTCTTCAACGTAATTCGTTTTTCTTTTCTCGTCCTTTCATAGCACAAAAAAATTGTACCTCTCGTCTCTCTATAACAAGCTGTTCAATCAGATTGGAGGAATAGTTTGGCGTGGTGTTTGAGTTCTCCCACAGAAGCGATGAATGTGCCAATGGAAAATCAATTCAATCACACTCGTACTTTCAAGATGAAAATGAAATCGTTCTTCTGTCTGGTAGTTATTTCAAAGTTGTGAGTAAATGAAAAGCCGAAAAAGATGTTTATATGGTCCATTTAAGAGAACAGAGTCCACCTTATGAAACACTTACTTCATCCTTGGATGAACTGTTACCTTCAATGAACAACTTATCAATTTCAGTAGAAAGGAAATCTGATTCGAATGAAGAAACGAAACGAAGTGAATCATCCTGATCTGGTGGTATCTTACGGCGACATCGGAGATGTGCGCTGCAACCCGGATCACTACTCAAAAGCATTGCCGCCAGATTACCCTGAATTCGTAAAATTCAAAGGAAATCTGGAACGTGTACATAGAGAATTGTAATTTGGAATTTTTTGTCACGCTGTAGAAAAGAGAAAACTCTGCGCATCTTGATGAGAACACAATTGGATATGTTTATTCACATACACACAATAAACAATACACGTCTGCTTGGAGGGATGACGTTTTTTTAATTGCGTAACAGTATAACTAAGAAGGACATCTTGAAATTGACCCGAAGAATAGTCGTTGATTAAAGTGTCAGAAGTAATGCATTTATAGTGAATAAAAGAGAATAGTTTGAAGCGATTCTGTGAGAGTGTATGAATATCATTTTGATTATTTGTTGATATATAAGCTTAACAATTATGATAGATATACCATAATTCTAAAGCGTTCACGCATAAAGATATGTTCCTGAAAATATTGTTCTTAAAATGATACCATCGACTAGACTCGCACGTTTTGATTATGTGAAGTTCTCGTATAATTTTGATTTATATGTATACCATAAACAGGTAATTTCAACTTATCTGTGGCGCTTGATGTTTTGGGTTTATTCTCTTGACTGAAACGATGCGATCATATAGGCAAAGACAGTTTATAGTTATATCTGTTTATCTATGTCAATACCATCAATGTTCGATGACTAATCAGTAAGCGACTAATCGGATGATGTGATCTGGCTTCGAATTAGCGAATGTTTTGGTTTTGTAGTTGCAGAACACGAAGTAGGACAACAGTTGCAACAAACCTTGAATACTGTGTGTAACATCAAGTGGTTGGGAATGACGCACCGAAAAGACGCGGATGGTCGAATGCAAGACAGACGTTTGGCAATAGATTCTAAAAAATACTCTATTAGAACAATGAAGAAGTTGAAACACATTTAGGTGGTGCTTATTTCTTTATACATCAATCAAATTCCTGTGTAAATTATATTGATCAAACAGATGAGTTATCAACTACATTTCCTGTTTAATCCAACAATAATGAAATGTTGAGTTTCCTGTCTTCTTTGAACGATTAAACAAAACTTCAAATAGATTCATCGAGAAACTATCTAAAACACGAGTATCATTAGTCGACCAATCCGATACTGATTCCGTCAGAATACAGCGTATCTAAAAGTAGATCTTATAAGATCTACAGCAGTTGATTGAAGCTTTCCAGAAACTCGAAAGGATTGTGCAGAATATTTCGAATCTTTGTCAGATTTGTGGATTTAGAGTAGTCAAGAATCGATCGGTCCGATTTAATGAAAAAAGGTTCAAGTACAGCATAATATTTAGGTTTGAATTAAAATCTTTGATAAGCACGAACCATTTTGTAGTTGCACTTATCGATGAAATGTCATTTTGTCAGAATCCTTCTTTGTTTTCTCGGTACTTTTACGGAGCAAAAAAATCGATGAGCTGGTTGATAAAAAACAGAATGAAAATCAATATTTTGCATGAGAAAAGTCAGACAGATGGATATGATTTGCTTTTTTTCTTCTGCTAAATCATCATTTCAAAAGAAATATAAATCAAGGACATACATATAAATCGAGTCAAATTCGTTAATAAATGTGTATTCAATACTAAAAAAATGAAACTTTTCTTATATTTCATCTTCTTACATTCGTTGGGAGAATGTATTCAACCATATTTTCCCCGCCAAGTGACTTTTCTCGCACGCGAAAACTACGATGGCAAGAAGAATCTCTTTGCAATCGACGAAATAAATCAACGAGCATATCAAAGTTGGGGAAAGAAATCATTCGATGAAAGGCGAGCTTATGCTATGAAAGATATGCCATATATGTTTCCTGATCCTTCTCAATCGAAATACTATGTTCAATTGTCTTACTTTACACCACCACCTCCACCTGGTTGTCATTATGGAATATATGCTCTAGATGGACTTGGATTTTCATTTAATGTATTTCCTGATCATTGGCAAAAACATTTGGATTCATTTGAAATACTAAATTATGTTCATTTTACGTCTAAAATGATTCATTCAAATCAATCGAAAGAAAACGAAGATTATTGGTATTCTGATGAAAAATGTCGATTAAGCAGTGGAGAAATGGTTCCATGCCAAGAAATTTATTTTAGAAGAGGTACGGAAATACCTTTACGAACAACTCGTGTTGATTATAACATAGTGGCTTTGGTACAGAAAACAACAGCATATGAAATTTTATCAATCGGAGAGCCAGATGAAAAATATTTTGATTCAATTCCAAAAAATTGGACTGAATCATGCGAAGATGCTAAATTTGATATTTGGTATAATCCGAACTCCTCATATTTATATCCAGGCCAAACGGTACAAGTTCAAGTTTGGCTTCGAACTGCTCCACATAAAGTTAATGGAAATGATACGCTGCGTATTCAGTGGACAGCGTATGATGATGATAAATATATTACATTGACACCAAAAGAATTAGTTTTTAATGGAGAAAATTTCTCGGAAAAACAAACTTTAACAATAAAACGTCATGAGGGTCAAACAGAAACAACATTTTATCCAATTTTTCACGGTGGAGGTCTTGAACCTGCTTTTACAGAGAACTATTCTTTTACGCTTTTAAATGAACTTGGATAAGGAGAAATTTGATAGAACGAGAAATAAAAGATTTTCCGTCTTTCTAAAGACCAATCAGCGTTGATATAATTTTATTTGCTTGTTGCACTCTTTACTTTGGAAAAGTATATTTAGAAGAAAAATCGCTATTTATTACTATTGTTCATCATTAGACAATTATTTGTATTCATTGAAGTCGACACTTCCACTACAGTCCGTAACTGCAAACATTCGGAGCTGTTATCGACTCTATGTTAATATCTGGAGAGAATGTCAATGGTTCAAATATTAGTTTAAATTGCGCATAGCTTTCATCTGTATCATCTTGTAAAAGTGAATTTGAAGATGGAGTAAATTGATCGAATGTATAGTTGTTTATACAAATAACCATATGTATCGATAGTCCTTGTATTTACAACATTGGAAAGATCATCTGCATTAACATATATTTGAGTAGCTTCATAATCCTGTTGCGATAACACTATACAATAACTAGTATGAGCGCTCCACGAAGTACTTGAAATCTAACCACTATCATTCAATAAAGTATCGGTTCTGTTAACGTCTTGGATATAGATAATGCCCATATTAGTCGTAGTGTACAATCATTATGTGAAACTCTAGTTGAGTTATTACCGTGAATGCTCGAAACACTTAGTGAAAAATGTACATACAACAATATTGTCGCTGGAAAACATCTTCAAAATGTATAGTTGATATTATGTTTGATCTTGACTATTCTTTCGCAGATTACAACAAAAAATCAAACTTAAGATTTCTTCTTTGACAGGTCTTATCTTGTGCCTTCGAGTTTCTTTAGTTTACACGAAATGTACTGTTGAGACAATTTTCGATCCTTTAAGTTTAACTAAATGGATAAATTGAAAATACAAGAAAAGCATTCAAAAAGTCAAACTGGAACGATGAAACTATCTGTATGATCTTGCGAACAATAATACAAATATTTGCAATAAAAAGTGAGCTCAGTCTCGGACAAAAGGAATGTTTATAATCACACGCAGAGACAAATCGATTAGAATCGCTTTTTCTGTCAATTATTTCATTTGTTTCTTCAATTGATGTCGATCTATATTGTTCTATCCTTGAAGTTTCCATTGTCTGTATGAAAACTAAAGTTAAAACAAAGTGACTTTTGTCAAAATACATGACAAGATGATACAATACTGATTTCGCTTCAATGTAATCAGTTCTCATGAATTTTTTTTTCTTATCATTAAATCAAATCTGTGACATCAATTTCATTCATACTTTTTCAGATCAATCGGAGAATTCAATAAGATTTAATTAAAATTTTCAGTGTTAACATTGTTTTCATTATTAGTTAACGCTGTTCATGTTATTTTCCAGATAGAACGTTCTTTTCTTATATTTATTTCTTCTTCATTTCATGGCACAAAGAATTGTACCTCAACAAACTCTCACACCAATCAAAGGTTATAAACAATCTTCTCTGGTCACTCTCAAAGAAGCTGTTCAACCAGTGAAATCGTTCTTCTATCTGGTAGTTATTTCAAAGTTGTGGGTAAACAGAAAGCCGAAAAAGATGTTTATATGGTCTATTTAAGAGAACAGAGTCCACCTTATGGCGACATCGGAGATCTGCGCTGCAACCTAGGTCACTACTCAAAAGCATTGCCGCCAGATTACTCTGAAATCGTAAAATTTAAAGGAAATCTTGAACGTATACGAAGAAAATTGTAACTTGTAATTGTTTGTCACACTGTGATATAAAGATAAAGTCAATGAATAAATAGGAGTATGAGGTTAGGTACAGAGGAAGACTCGGTTTATCTTGAAAACTACAGAGTGGGATGCGAGCACAGACGTTGATATAGCAAGTAACACACAGCTAAATCGATAGAGTAGAAAGTTGTATTGCGGATGAGTCAGCAAAGCTAGGAAAGTGTGTTGAAACTGAGCAGAAAAATAGCCGTTTAGTTTACAAATCCAATCTGATTGAAATCAATGAATTTGTCAATATCGTGTTTTAAATTCGATGGTATTTATTTTGCATCATTTTGAAAGAAACACAATTCATCGTCTCACGTTTTTCAATAATCTCATGCAATTTAAAAAAACTGTCTATTTTTTTCTTTCTCTACTTACATTTGAGATCTCATTTACAATAATAAATACTGAATAAAATTCGGATAAGGTAGATATTTATGACCAATGACTTTCAACTGATTTGGAAGGTTCGATTTCAAGAACCAATATCAACTGATCATTGAGAATATCTATCAATACTCATAAATGGTGATTTTCATTCAAATATTCTGTAACTGACAAAATATGTTCTAATTGAACATTTTGTACATGTGGAAAACCGTTTGGCTATAATCAAAAAGACAGAAAATTAGTTTATCCTGCGTCTGGTGTTTACATAGGTTATTCTTGGTAAATAGACAAAACACACAAATCGATAGAAATATTGACATTCGATCATTTGTTCTTCTCGATAATTTCAACTGAGTGGAATTCAAACATCGCGATTGTTCGTTTTATTTTCTTTTAGCCTGCGTAACAGTTTTTCAGTTGGTTTACGCAGTACAATACAACAAATTTAGTTGCAGCATCTGATGCACAATAATGTCCATTCACTTTGAACTAAAACTATTACCTGTCTGTTGTTTCGATAGCAGTTGATAATGAATTTTGCAGAAAATCCTCTTGGTTTCAATCGTTGAAATTTCATCAAATAACGATCAACAAGATGTTTTTTTTTACCTTTTACTTGTGAACACTTATTCGAAAATTCTCTCTCGAAATAGAAACCCAATCTAAATGTGAAAAACTTCTTTTGTTATTTGATGATAACTATTCAGTAATTGTTGTTGTCGAAAAGTGAATTTCTTCGGTGTTTGTTGATGATTCGTCAAACAAGAATAAATTCCGATTCGCCATTGTCCTTCTTCATTCCACGCCTCGATGTTCAGTAAATCCTTCTTGCTCTCAGATCGACTCTTGAGAATTCCACCATTCCACCAAAGAAGTGTTTTCTCTTCATTATAATGCAAAAGATGTCCGCAAAGGATCGTCTGTTTCTTCTTCTTTCCGATTTTTCCGATTCCCGCAGTCAGAGTTGGAACAAACGAATAAGAAATGTTCATCATATGTAAACCAATCCACCACGTATCTTTATCTCCATACAAATGTTCGTATGTGATTTGATGTCGTTCGTGATAATCATTAAGTTTACAAATAGCGAGAAGGCCGGAGAAAAGACGAGATTTGTCAATGAGAACAACGCCGGACTCTTGTGTTCGCTGAGGATATGATCGATTTGATTGTATGGAGAAGGATTCAACCCAATTAATATGACCTTTAGTGATATTTGGACGATCGTAGAAGAATAAACTTCCTGTTTGATTGTATAAGTCATGTTGGAATAAAAGCGAGGGTTTTTCGAAAAATAGCACATCGGCATCCATTAGAAGAACTTGTTCGAATTGAGACGCTAAAACAGCATAGGGTTTGATTTCCCAACCTCGCAGTTTCAAATAATTATCATTAAAACTCATCGTTGATAGATCGATTAAGCGAATATTGGAATAATGTTTCCTGAGAATATCCTGATTTTCCTGAGAAAGATCAGATGGAGTTGAATAAATGACTTCGATTGGTAATTCATTTTCGACGACTTCCAAAGCTTTGATTGCCACTAATGCAACACCAAAATGTTCATTTCCCGTGCAAATAACGATTCCTTTGCTGTTCTTTTCCCCCTTGAAATCGTTCACAGTTCGATTGTTCGGCGAATAATAAATCCATGGAAATAACTTTTCAGTAAGATTTGCATTCGGATTGGAGAAATATTCGCGTAAATCAGATGTTAATTCAGTGAAATTCAAATAAATCTTTCGTTGAGTGATCGCAGGAGAATCATTGTATAGAGAATAAGAGTGATAAATAAGTAAGAGAAGAGGAAATATGATTAAACTGATTAAGCAATACTTTTTTCGACTGATTTTCTCTATGAAAATATTAATGTTATAATAAAAAGAGAATCGGGAAATATATTTGCACTTACTTGATAGAGAGGCCATGTTTCTAGTCAATGATCGAAAAAAAAGAACACGAAAGAGAAACATGGGCATTCATATGTGACGGCAAAATGCGCTTTTCAATCAATTTTTTTATTCATCCTACTTCTTGATTGATAACGATCACACATGTGTGAAGAGGATGCAATCATGTTATACTATCAACGACGTAATTAGCCGTACGCCTTTTTTTTTGTTTATTTAAGATAGCAAAAGTCGATGGTGTAATATAGGAATGGGTTGTGGGTTTTAAATGGGAAAAAAGTCATTTGTCTCTACTTGTTTTTGTTCTTTTTCATTTTCTTTTCCAATAATTTTGTTATATACTTCAAAATATTTCCAACATTTGGACTTCCCAATCCTGTAACAGGATCCCAGCCACATGCAGCTTGAAAACCTTTACATTGACTCGTACATACAGTTGAAGTACATTTATTATTTCCAACTGTTATATCTTTTAAGCAGTTTGGACATTCTTTTGCCATCTGGTAGAGTAGTGGATTTAGAAATCCCAACGTTTTACCCGTTATCTTTATCGAATGTGAGTTGAGAATCGAAACAATACTAGCCCATAATGGTGATGATGCACTTGTGCCACCGACTGCAAGATTAACAGAATCCTGAACCATAAATATTCTTACACCAAACGCAGACACATCAGGAAAGGCTCGTCCATATCGTTTATACATTGATGAAGGAGGATAGAAGTCTGATGTTTTATCGGTATAATATCTTTCATCTCGGAAATAATGATCAACAGCTTGTTTTTGATAGGATGGTTGAGGAGCAAAATCGGAGAATCCACCACCGCTAGGAAATCTAGTGAAAGTTGGATCGTCTACACTGACAGCAATTTCGTCTCCATCCGACACACATTTAAAAGTTGAACTTAATTCAGTACAAGCTGGTGGTTGATCTGCAAATGTTTCGTACTTTGCGTTGACTAATGTTGTTCCGCCAACCGATGTTATGAAAGGTGATGATGCTGGGTAATCCGGATAGAATACTTTGTTTGTACAATTCGAAAGAAAACTGTTTACTCCATCATCGCCACTTGAGACGAAAATTGAAATACCTCTCATTGTTAGTTTCATGAATTCGATATTTGTACGGGTAATATATCGTCTATCTGCATCTAAAACTTCTTCAGCACAATCAGTCACTTGTGTACATACCAAACTTTCCGGATCACCATAACTAATCGACAAAACTTGTGGTACATCATCTACTTGATTTAATGTAAATATAGTAGTATAGAAGTTTTCACCACTCATATTCATTGTATTATAATTTAAATACCAAGTGTCAGCTAATGGATTTATACCAAACATAAGTTCAATATCTAACATTGTCTCAATACCCGGATCTGATTGATTGTTAATCCCGAGAATATGGTTTGGTTTCAGAGGTTTGAATGGTATGTTCACTAACTGTGAATATAGTTTTAAATCATTTTCACTATAGAACTGACCGAGAAATTCAAGAGCACCTTGAGAAACCTGAGAATCTAAGTCAGTTTTCCGAACGTTTGGAATATTATAATACGTAAGAATGAATTGAGGAACAAGTATCGATTTAACTACAGTTGCGACATTCGTAGGATCTTGATCATCTTTAACATTGAAATGCATTCGATTTGGATCGACAGAGTTTCTGTGGCTAATCAAAAAATCATTGATTCCAAGCCAGAAATCGATATATTGACCAATTTCCCCCGGAAAGCAAAATCTTTCATGAGCTCGATGAAAGGTTTTTCCTGTCTTGGAATGTTTGTAACGATAAAATTTAATGGAAAAGATATTCGATAAATGTTGGACTGTTGTTTTTATTTGAAACACGTCAGTTCCAATCAATTTGACGGATGTAAATGAGTGTTCTGTGAACCAATGCTTAACTGCATTCAAAATTCGATTATCAAGTGTAAGAATCTTATCGATTGCAGGACGTGTCAACCAGTTTTGATATTCATCATTGTTTGGATCGGTGATTTTCCAAAATATTTTCTCTAATTTCTGTAATGCTATTGGATCTTGCTTCAGGACCAGAAAAAATGTTATTGATTCGTTCGGATCGGATAATTCAGATGAAGTCGTTAGCCAATGAGGAATATGATCTATTTATGAAATGTGTTAAACGAAACTCAAAGTGATATTAGTGAGTGGAAAAATTCATTTTTTATACAAATCAGAGAATCTATGAAGAATGTTTATGTGAAATTGTCGTTCATCTCTATTTTGAAGGGGAAACACAGCAAATCTTATTTTAAACACTAACAACAACAACAAAAGGTCTTGCTGAAATCACACCATTCGAAGCGCAATGTAAAACATGACTTACGTTTTGGTGTTGATGGTTGACACTTTTTTGTCTTCCCTTCATTGGTTGGTTCTGCAAAAAGAAAGTATTTCAAATCATTCATTTGTATGACGATAAACGTTTATGTCTTTAACATATATCTTCCCAAAATCAAATATAGAGCATCAGATTACTTTTCGTGTTGGGTGCCTTTGATGATCTTTTGTAATTATTATTTAGAACTGGTTCATATCGATAGCGATTGTCGTCGTCGTCGTCTTCTTCCGTTTCATTAATTTCCTCAATATTGTTTACTGTTTTGTAAGGTTTAGAAATCGAGAATGAACCGAGACTAGTGCGAAGACCACCTTTGAAACCACCTGTTAAATGATTTATCGCAGGGATATCACGACCAATCACTAACATAAAGTAAAAGTATATTATTAGAATAATGACAAACGGAAACTAACAGGGTTGTGGTAGAAAAAAAGGGATCATATTAATAGGAGCAATCGGTGGGACTCCACTACTGACTAAACTGGCATAACCGGAAGCAATAAGTTCAGCAACGGAATACATTTTGCCATAAAAATTAATCAATGGAGGTATAATGTAGACTAAATTAATAATAAAATATAAAAACCTATTTGACTTATGGGAACACTAACCACCTCCTGTTGGAGAAAATATTAATGTTTGTTTAGTATATCGATCGACGAATATCGGAATCCTTGGCATAAAACTAAGGAAAGGTCCGTTGAAAGCTATAAAAAGCAAAAGTATTTAATAGAATCAATGATAAATGAAACAAAGTATACGCATGTGACGACGATCATATTGCAGTACAGGAAACCGAAGCCTTTGATTGTCTCGTCTATTATTACGACGATAACCATCCTTATTGATGTAAATATTCACATGGCCAACACGTTCAGGTGATTTCGGCTTCTAGAAGTCAAGAGATATATGTAAAAAACAGGCGAGAATTTTTAGTTCGTGTTTTTATGAAAGTGTGTAAGAAGATAAACAGCTGTAGAATAAAAATACTTGCATGATGTTCTGTGTATGATCGTAGTTGAAAATGTTGATCATCATTGTTTGCCTGTTCTGCTTCTCCATTCTCGTCTGATGAATCTTCCATGTCATCTATTGAAGAGCATTACATATTTATAAAGCTATCAAGTTTGAAACCCTCCCATGCGTGACACTTGCGCTTCGAAAGAATGAAAATATAGAGTTTTATTAACTTTAATCGAAAATAAGGTAAATATCAGAAGTGAATCACTCGTTTCAGAATCCAATACAGAGGTAAAACTGGTATTGATATCGGATACCCTATTGTATATAATGTTCTCTCGTAAACTGATTCGAAACATCTGAAGTCTTAAAAATATCGGTCAATGTTCAGTATGCGAATGGCCACTAACTAGAACGTGGACTACTATAGTATTGATAACAATTTAGAATCGATCAGTCAACGAAAAGAAAATATTTCAAATAATTATGTTGAAGGTCTAATCTGCCAATGACTATTCGATTAGTTAAAGTTCTTCGCTCTATCTCGCATACCCATACCCATGTTTTACTGAGACGTGTGATAAACCTGAATCTGAACTCAAGTAAAACATTGAAATAATACGCATTCATCCTATCTGCAACTCCTTTGACTTTTCCGACTTGGCGTATTGAACAGAGCTTTGGGTCAAATTCCAAGGCGTTCATCGCTGCGTAAACCATATGTGAATGTCAATCAAACAATTAGACTGGAGCTCTCCAAACTCAAATGGTGCGGTTCGTTTATTTTCTGTTAGCGGTAATGAAACAGAAAATATAAAACTCACTTTGCTTTTTCATATTCGTGACGACGTTACTGTGTCGCGCCTGATAATTCGCCAATGCCACAATAGATCCGCCAGCAATGAAAAGAAGCAATAAAACGACACAGAACATACGCAAACGCCGTGTGCTACAAAAAAGGAGTAGAGTTTATGCATACATTTCTTATTGCTTTTGCTCTAAAATCTTTACTGCACGTGTGATACGTCTCTTGATGTTGATGCACACATAACGGATTCTGGTCTCTGTTGATTCGTTATCATGTGCTCCATTTCTGCGTTATCTTGACGCTGTTCATCATCGACACTCATTTGAAGATATTCTCGTATTGTATGTGATACTTCCTATGATCCAATAAATATATTAAAACAAAAGACATTTTAGGGTGAGAGTGATGTATGGTCAGAACATCGTTGGAATATGGTATGATGGCAGCCCGGACTCAGAAGCTACACTACTCCCACAAACATGCTTGGTGATTAATAGAACTTTGAGAAAAGTTGCGACAACTAACTCCTTGTCGAAAGGGATCCAACATCAAAACTGTGAATCGGGGTGTATATCTTCATTACGGAATTCTTCACTGCAGTGGGTCTATCTGCATAATAAATTCTTATAATGACACCTCTTTACCTTTAGAACTCTACCACGAATTCCTATACTTTGATGCGACTATGTAATGAGTGATCTATCTACTTATACTGCTTGCCTGCCAGTGTGTGATGTACAGCTTGACTTTCGCAGGGATATAGGAATAAATTTGAACTGGCGACAAAATCGTAATTACGCACGAACTCACTACATGATCGAGACTACGGTAATTCCTCATAAATGAACATATCAAGACAATCTTACCGACATCATTATTTTTTATGATATACTTTTATCTCCTATCATGTCGTCTGACAAAGTCATTCTCAGTGTAACGAAGTACAAAAGATGAAGAAATATCATTATAACTTCAATCTTTTGCTTTTATTACCATTCTAACAATGACATTGAGAAAAGATGTCTTTCTTATCTCTAGTATGATGGTGTTGATAGTGCTGCTTCAATATCCAGTTGTTTTTCAATGATGAAAAAAACACTTATTCATAAAGAATAATATGTGAGAAAAAAGATTAAATTAAACAATATACATGGACTTAGTGAAAATGGAGAATATAATGCAACAACGATATAACTTATCAACAAGGTGTCGATATATGAATGTATAGATAAGAAAAAAACATCAGCTGGTATTAAGTTTTTCACCTTTTCTTATGCTCCGGTCTTTCCGACAGTGTGCTTTGATTATCTTAGCGTGTAAATTCATAGCGAGAGACGTGCATGCTTCTTAAGAAGGTCTATTATAAACATCTTCTTGAAGATGAGGACGCGAATGTGAATTTGTGTACTACTACAATTTGCTAATCCGCACTCACTGTTTTTCTGACCAATTCAAGTGTCATAAGCAGAATTGAATCAATATCCGACACGAATACCATTTCATTCAATAAATTCAAATAATGGCTCCGATAGTATTCTAATCTTGTCTCTATATATCAAACAAAACTATTCACAATATGCAATCAAATTAGAAAATATATCCAATATAAATCCAATCTCAAACATCATTGAGAAATGCTCCACTTAATCCAAATAAGAACATAAGCATCTATTCTGTCACGAGGGAAATTGGCTTTACAAAAAACTAACGTTGATACCACACAAAAAGACATAATACAGCTCAATTCATAGAAACTCCACTTTCACAGAATTCTTGACCAAATATAAACTATATTCGTAGTTATGAATTTCTGACGATACAGACAATGTGAAAACTCATATCTTGTTCTTTGACGCAGCTGTTGGAGATGCGAGCGTTCGAAACGTCAACTATCTCATCTTGAAAATTGTACTCTTTTATTCAAGGACAAAAACACAGTCAACTTCTTTAATTATTTCGACTGTCACCGAAGATAGTTTATAGTCGAATGTGTGTTGTTGTTCTGTTTTACACACACATCAATACACGATGTGCATGTGTCAAACTGTTCTTATCTCATATTCGTGTAGCTTGTAAGAGAGAGAGAGTCGTCCTTGTGATGATAATAGTCATCTTACCCCCGGTTTGACCCTGTCCAATAGAAAAGAGATATTTCAAAACAATCGATTTAAAACCTTTCCACTCTCTTATAGTGAGTTGACATAATGGAAAATATCTTTCATGGCGGATAATTTAGCTTCTGTGTGTTTGGTGTCGAATATGTATTGTGAGATTATAATCGACAAAGTAACGGGAAAGGACCGCAAACACACTTTTATCGATAACGCCGAGAATGAATTCCATTATGTATAAGACACAGAACGAAAAATCCATACGGATAAACGTTTCCATATAAGGACACATAGAAGAGAAAAATTTCAAGGAATCATACTATTATAGCTGCAGCGTGATTTATTTGTTTGTTTTTACTCAAAACCAGCGTGTAAAAACACGTAAGGTACCTTTGGGCAAGATTCGACATTTCTTGAGTCGATTCGATTCTACATAGGTTCCAGTCATACAAATTTTTCACCCCATCCACACCCTCCCACACCCACACCCACACCCTCAAGATCGTTTTGAATCATTTTCTTATTTGTAAACTCACTGTCATACACACCCTCAAGAGCAAATACGAAATATCAGTAAAGAGTTTTGAATCCAAAAGAAATCTGATGAGACAAATATGAAACGAATAGGTAAAACATTTTTAATTCGAAAAAATTCAAAGAAATTAAGTATTCGCAAATTAGTTTTAATTTATCGAATTGGTTGACATGACTTGACTTGACGATTTTGAACGAACTCTAGTTTTAACTGATTGTCTTGAATTCGATAAATTTTGTCTTATTTGACGACGAGGATACAAAATGATTCGAAATGCTTTTGTTCGAATAACTGAACTTGTCATTAATAAAATAGGAAAATGCGAACAATGATGAAGAATTTCCATTAAATCTAATATAATTGATATATTATTTGTTACCATTTTGTGATTATGCATTGTTGACCAGCCATTTAGAAATCCTATTGGTGTTGTTAAAGTAATAAACGTCATATTTGAAAGAAAAACATATAAAATAACACTTTGGTCTCTCCAATCAGAAGTTTTTCTTCTACCTAAACGATTTCTACGTCGATCAGAACGACATTTTAAACCAATGATTAATATTATATTTGTTATTGTTATCAATATTGGTAAAATTAAATTATTTAAACCAATAGTTTCAATAAATATTAAATCACTTAATGAATATTTATAACCATAAGATTTATAATATGCATTGTCACATGAAAATAATATTGATAGATTATTTAATCCAACAAAACAATATGAAACACTATAGGGAATAAATAAAAATGGATGATCATAAATAAGAATAAATATTATTATTAATATACTAATCAATTGAGCGCGTTGACGAGTTATTAAATAATTACGATTATTTCCCCAAATTTTTAAATTACGTTCAATTCCTTTGAATAAAAAAGTTATTTGCTGTTTTTTTTAAATTTTATTTCGCTTACCTAATGCCAAAAGAAACGAGTAAGATAAATTTTCAGTTGATAATGTTAAAAACCATGATATTGAACAAACAAAAATTGGATGTTGAATATAAAAATAAATAATATGTAAAATATATTCAGAGAACAATTTAGTTGTATCTGATATTGATAGCGCAATTATAAATATTCCGTATGAAGTTTTGCAAAGAGATTTTGATCGAATAAATAATAAACATGAACAAATATTTAATAAAATACCAATTATTGTCAAGAAAAAACCAATGAAATAAAATGAGAAAATCAAATGTGCATTTACATTTTCACATGAAGAATTCATTTTAAAAATTTCTGACATTCACTTTCCAAAAGAAAAAAAAACAGAAGCACCATCAATTTTCATCATGGGTGTGCCAGTGAAAGAAAAAAAAAGTCGAGAGCTAATGCTCAACAAGAAATTGAAAAACTACACTTATGAGCTCATTATTCTCAAGAGCAACATCTACGAACAGTCATATCGTCTCATTAAAATTCGAACCACTCCTTTTTTTAACAATGTCTTTTACTTTTGAGTATTTTCAATGAAAAATTGGCTTTTATTTTTACCAAGTACTTGAAACTCTGTATAAAATTACTTTTTATTTCTTTTTTCTTATATTATTTATGATAATCAAATACAGGGTATCACAAAAGTGTCTTGCCTGAAAGAAAAATCAACAATGGGCATGGGCAAGATTCATTTTTTTCAAAATTTAAACCAAAACGAACTCAAATAAAGTATAAAATTATATCACAGATAACTAAACTATGTAATCTTTATTTGAACCCGATTATTCTATATTAAATTATTGTTATCTATATTATGGTTATAGCATAAAAAGTCTCGGAGTTTTGCTCCTCGAAAAAATGATCGAAATCATTATACTGCTATATTTATTTTATTTACGATTTGCAACATGAAACTAAAGGCCACGTAAGAGATCATGCATTGTAATTTTGTTTTTATTAATTCGATCATAAAGTTCTTTTATACGTTGTTCAGCAATTCTGCTTTTCGTTGGAGGCAACATTCCAATATCTCTTTATTGAATTAAATCATGAATTGTATTAATTTCTTGTTGTAGAATTGGATGAGTTTTCTGCAAACACCGATTGAATCTATTATTGTAACCTATAAATGCACAATATCATTGATGAAACAATCTTTTTTCCTTTTAGAAAATCTTGGCTATAATTGTTAGTTCTATCAGGTAATTCATAAACATTCCGTGTTGATATTGGATGCATCCAATGATGGTTGGAATATTTTGATAAACTTGAAATTTCTTCACGCTCATCTTCAATCAATTCGTGGCCAGCTCATGAAACAACGTATCAACATATGTTGGCGGCACAAACGCCTACGGCATTGCTTGTTTGAGAACATTTCGAACCATAAAATTATTGACATAACTTGATGAGAAACCTAGTGCTTAAACATGTCTATGAACGGACTGCGAGAGATGAAAAAGAAACATAGTTTTTGAGTGATTTTTTCGAGAACTACATCCAACAAAACTAAAGAGAGCAACATTAGCAATATTTCACTTACGTTAGTTGCAGCTATAATCAAGCCTGAATTTAAAAAAAGCTTTCGGTAGACCTGGCTAAAAATCTTTCATTATGTTCACAGGATCGAATTTTACATTGAATCACTTTGCTTGATCAAATAAAATGCTGAATAGGCACAAATAAGTTGGTGCTTTTCGGTCAGAAAGAAGTATTTATTTTTAAGTAGCTTTGTATCATAAAAGCTGCTTACGTGTTCCATGATGAATTAATTGTATATTGAAGATTTGCTCGAAACCTAGAGGTGAACTTGAAAAAATACCATCTATATGTAAACGTTCGCTGTTGAATAACAAACGGAGTTGAGTATCAGATGACCAGACTAAAGATCCTCCTGATGACTCTATATTATTTGATGAATCGAATTTGCATTGAGAATTTTCAGTGTCATGCAACCGCAACAGACGATTAACATCAAGGTAATCTTTTGTATAAGAATCTGGTAAAAGTACAAAAGATGCTGAATTTAGTATTGTGGGAATTTTTTTCTGACGAACGTAACTTAAACTAAGACCTAAGAAAAAGAAGAAACATATGTTGGAATAATCAGTGACATTTATTTTTATACTGTACCTATTTCGAAGATATTTGGAAGATTAGCTAGTGCATCGCCGCTTAGCAAACCATGTCGAATCTCTTGTTTAGCAAGTTCGTGTAATGTCACCAATTCTTTTTAAATTACGGATTTCTAATGCAGTGGGATTTGGTAAATGTGTGTGCTTAGTCTACTCTCTCGAAAATTTTATAAATTCATCGTTAAGACTAGTGTGCAAAAGCAAACCACACAGTCTCTCTCTGCACCGCGCCAAAATTGAACATTCCATTTCGATTAAAATCCTTGAACTGACACTGAAATCCTTTTATATGTAATATCACTTTACGTTTATTTGTTGTTGTTTTAATAATTGTGGGTATAGGTGATGTAGATCACGACTTCGGTTTGGAACTGGGTGAAAATGATGATGACGATGGCATTTCATCACTGGATGTCGAATCGGGTGATGCCATTTAAAAATAACGATCGTGCCTATTCTTGAATGTAATCACTATACATATAAGTGTATTATAACAAACTTTTTCGTTCTTTGGCTGTTCATTCTGTCCTCATCTTTCTCTCTGCAAAAGTAATAGTATCATTCATATTTTCCTACCACAGCGTCATCTGCCTTTCAACCCAATTGAATTTTATGTCTCATAGCCAGTCAAAGCAAAGGACATTTCAGTCGAAGATATTTTTTGAAAGAATCTTTTTAAAAGAACGTTATTTTGTGTGTTCGTTCATTCTATCGATGGCATTTCTTTATGTGTGATAAACTGATTCAAGAAGAACTTCAAGAACGAAATCAGCCAGAATCTTATTTACAACCTAAATATCTCTCCAATAAAACGATACGATTTAAATTAACGTATCCTTAATAAGCATAATGATTCATTCATACACAACATGTCACCATATAATTCTTGTACATCTGAGTAACCGACATTCACATCCTTTATCCTCAGTTAAGTTAAGACAATTAAGAAAAGAGTCATGATACAATTCACATTAATTGCAATCATTTCAACGAATTGTCCGAGTGCCCAGAGAATATAACGTACAGCAAGATATCATCTATTAGTAAGTTGAACTAATCACATATGCTAGCCTTCTTTCGAAGCCAAGTATAGGCATAAGTACTTGCATCCTAGCTCCGTTCACAAAGGGCGATACCATACTATCTATACAGTGTAGACTATAGGAGCGACGAAGAATCTTGAGTATGACTAATTTTTATAGGTTACGAATTGTTAATAACAGATATTCAGTCAACCTGCAAAGGTAGAGTACGCGTACCAAACCTACAAGTATGTTCGTGTGAAGGTGTGAAAACTGGTGCCCGTACAGTACGGTAGCCGCTATCGTGAGTCACAAAAAGTCGCGGATGAATTGTTAAAGCAAATGTTTATCTATACTTTTTTTTCGATCTTCGTTCCTTCTTCAATACTATAAATGTTGAGAACGCTTGTCAATAATAGAGTGACAAAAGTGACTGCTATTTCTTCTACATTTAACTTTATCAAAGCACATTAGTAATCCAATTACAATGGAATCAACTTTCATGTCGATTAAACTGTTAAATCTTGATGATTTGGTGAAACTAATAGCGAATAGCATTTTCCAACAAATTGATCCTATCGGTGATAAAGCTCAACATATTAGTAATACAATTGTTTCCATAATTGAAGATCGCATAAAAGTAAATGTATTTGATGTACGCGATTGGTTTGACGCAAATCTATTTATACTGCTGTTTTTAGCGATAATTTTTCTCATGCTTGTCTTTAAATTGCTTGATCAATTAGATAATTTAATGACTAAATATGAGTTTTCTTCTGGCAAACGTCATTTTACTGGATTGATGCTTATCACAGGTATTTTTATTTGGCTATTTATTGCTGTAATATTTTGGGCATGCTCATCGGCCGATGGAATTAAACTTGAAACACTGAAATATATATTGGTTGGATGTACCAGTTTGGCAATGGTATGCATCATATTCGTTTGGATCCGATGGTTATTTATTCATCGATATCGTATTCAAACTTATCTGAGAGATGAACTGTTTGATTTCAACGAAAAAAAAAGATTATCAATGGAAATAGGACTGACACAGATTCAACTGACCAATAATTCGAAGATGGCAAATACAACCAATTATTCTGAACCAAATTTGTGATCTATTTGAGACGATCTGTAATTCTATTTTCTAGCTGAGAGACGAACAAAGTCAAATGTTTTTTCTTATTAATAAAAACACACAGCGTTTCGATTCATACCATCTTGAGGGTGAGGGTGACTTATATATAGTGGAACCTTACGATGACGATTTTGATCTTTTCAAGGATCAATCATCAGGTAGGTAAATGAGTGCATTCAAATTGAAAGCAGAAATTGGAAAGACTAATTAAAGTCCACCAAAATTTGAAAGAATTGAATTTAGTAGAGCAGTATATACAACGGGTGAGTTATATACAGTGAGGGTGAGTATTGCTACCGTGATCATGATTTATTCCCGACTAAAGGACTCTTCTGGCCGCTTAAGTAGCTATTCTCACGCCAACTATATGGGTACCTTGAATCGTCTTTGAAATCCTTTTCGAATTCTTTGATATCATGCAGGTTATTGTACCTTGTTTATGATCATTATGATCATACCAACAAGTACACTTACTTAAGCCGTCTGAAGAGTCCTTTAGCCGGAACGAAGTCGTGATCACTGTAGTTATGCTGACATCCGCAAAATTACAGCCTAAAACCAACTGATGAGACTATCTCGGCAACGGTCGAAACGCGTGTTGATCTGCTTCGACTCACCCTCACCCTCACACCAGTGATGGGATCAGTTCGTTTTTTTGAAAAATCAAACCGCATTGAACCGAAATATATTATTCTCACCCCAAATACTAGAGATTTTCTTCCAAACCTTCGATTAGAAGAGCCTTATCAAAAGTAGTCATACTTTAAAAGCTATTTAAACGTTTCGTTACGAATTAGATGCATCTTTTTCATAGCCAAGTTTAAAAATAACTAAGCTGAGGAGCTAAAAGTTGTTAAGAGTTCCAAATAGGGGTGCACAAGTTCAAGTTCAAGTTCAAGAACCGACTAAAAGGAACTTTAGAACTGCAAAATCGTTGATTGTGAACGGGCTGAGCTGTTGAAAAATGAGCGGTTCTGAACTTGAACTGAACTTTGTAGATCCCTAGTTCCAAACTAGGTTTATAATCACCTGGAAAGAGTTTCAACGGAACACAAAATTTAGACATTGAAAATATATAAGCTCATCGGACACGCTAGCAGTTCCTTATAAAATTTTGCAACATCAACAACGTTAGAAGTCTTCGCGAACTTCTTATATGGAAGGAGATTATAAAATTCTATGTGATAAGGAATTCTAACTAATCCATTGAAAAATAATTCTTTTTTATTTTCTCTACCGATTGTGATAAATATAATTTACTTGATCTAAGCAACTAATTTGACATCTAACCAATTTGAATTTTTCAGAATCTTACACTAAGGGAAATCTTTACACAGGAGTAGAGAGAAAATAATAGCAATCACATATCTCAATTGTTCCCTTTTCTGAAAGAAAGGGTTATGCAGCGCTTAAGCGCTGTGCTAAAAAGCTTAAAGTTTGTCTGTCTGTCCTATCCGATCCGAAATCAGCATTTCTAAAATCAATGAAATTGATCGATAGCTGGTAGAAAATAATTACCGGTAGGATAATCGAGGTCGAGAAACTTGAATCTGAGCTTAGTTTTTTCTTATTCACCAAGTTTAGACTTCTTCGTTACTTGTTTCAGAAAAGATAATTTTCTTTGTGTTTTACAAATTCTGTTTTAGAAGGTAGTTGTTTCGACGCTATTCCGGGAAACTGATTTTTACAAGATTTTCAAACAGGATTAAATGATCTTTAGATATACTTTCCATATAGAGCGGTATAGGCGGTATTTTATCTACTTAGCTTCCCAGTGTTTGACAAAGAAAATAATTCGATTGTACACTGACGAATACTTACCGAACAAAAAGCTGTCATCACCCTCTGCAGCACCCTCAATGAGATGATACCGCCTCATACTGAAATTTAATTTCCAGGAATTTCCTGGGCATCCGATATGCATTAAATTTCCCGGCTAGCGCTATAATGCATCATATGGACAGAACGGTTTTGTCTTCTTCTATAATACATCTTGTTGAAACATGGACAAAATCTACTGACAATTCAGAAATTGAAGGTTTTGAGATAGTTTACAGACGTGATTGACAGGATGTACGAAAACCGTTCGGTCAAGTCATCTATTTAAAAGATGATTTACAATACGAAAATATTATCGAAAGATATGAATATTCTTTAACAAAAGCTAGTAAAATTTGTATAGTTTCCGTTTATAATTCACCAAACTCATCATTCAATGTCCTAAAACGACACATTGACGAAGTTATTCTTATTTCTAAAGGAGTTTGTGAACGTATAGCTGCTGCTGATGATTTTAATATAGATTTGAAGATAAAAACCAATCATAAATTGATCGAATATATGGGATCAATCGGACTCACTTTAATTAATTAATTAAATAAAAGTTCGACTAATGCTAAGACACAGATTGACTATTGTTTCACTAATGTGAATAACCTGGCATCCGATTATTTTGAAAGTTTAACAAGTTTTCATAAACCAATATAGCACAGAAAACGCAAAGTTTTGACTAAGGTTCATCTTAATGAAACCGAAGACATTTGTACAAATATGCCTTTTGATATTGATGATGATATAAATGATGACCAGTCTGATGCGATGGAAGTTGATGAGAAATTGACTTTCAATCATCATGAAATAGTCGACTTAGATATGTTTTTACGATTAGAAGATTTCAGCGTTAATGAGTCATCTAATATGATAGAAATTGAAGAAAACTCTTCTTCAGAGCTGTTTGAAATCATTGATTCCAATTCAAGGAAAATTTTTGATCATTTCCTTTTTACATTTGGTTTTGATAATATTATCGACACTGATCAAATTTCAAGTCAAGCTGGAAAAATCATCGTTTATAATTGTGAAAAATAAAGACAAATCTGTACGGTTAGAAACAAGAGCAGAATATTCTGTCCAAGCATTCCGTTCCGTTTATGCTCGAACACGCACGAATGCAGATAGAAATTGTTTATATAGCTCTCTTTCGATATTGAATGTTGACTCGGAGAAACTAACACATTCGATGAAGTTATTGGCAATTAATGCAATGATCCAAAATAAAGATTATTTCCCAACACTTTGTAACGCATACTGAGAAATTCATGTGAAGTACAGTTAGAAAGAACTGCTACACATAACGTATGAAGAGAAGAAGTGCAAATTCAAGCTCTATCTATAGCACCATCTGGTCCTATATATTCATATATAAAGTTTAATTCAGATCCAAATCGCAATAACATACTTTTTATTTCATCAAATATTAGATTGCAGGAATTAATCGACCGATTTAATAAGAAAACATAAGATGGCCATTTAATATACCTTGCATATGAATCGGACAGAAACAAAACAGGACTTTGTGTTTATTACACCGGTTCACATTACGATGCTCTTTTACCTTTTGAACATAATCCTCCTCAGCTTATACCACGTTTTGACCTAATAATCATGACTTTATAACATAGAAGTACATCCATTAAAGATATAGAAACTCGTAAAAACAAATTTTCCGCTGATGCAAGTAATTATTTCGGTGGAAGTAACTCCTCGCCACGTTCTAAGGGACAAAAAGAGCGTACCCATAGGATCTAAGGGGTGATTCCTTAGTGAGCTCAAGGGTGATTTATTTTAGATCGATGCATTAAAACTACTTTGTCATCGTCTTTGCTTTTTGAAGTACGCACAACATTCGGATTTTAATCCGAGATTTCCTCATCTATTATTTATCACGTACGTGACGTATCATGAAGAGAAATGTATTTTTTATTTGAATTTCTCTTATAATAAGTAATAATTCAAATTCGATTAATTATCAATCCTCATTTTCGAACGAAAAAATTTAATAAATCGAGTAAAAGAAGATTTAATTGGACATTTTACACAAAGGCTTATCAAACAAACAAGTATTAGTCTTCATTCTCATTTTTATTGGATAAAAAAAATATTGTTTTAATATACATCTCTTCTCTTTTTATAGTTCTAATGAATACAAAAAAATAAAATATTTTTTTTCTTATTGAAACAATATGTTTCAAGATTTCTTCTATGTTCAGTATTTACGCAGTTAATATTTTAATCTACATCTGCTATTATTTTATTTTGTGCATGATTTCAATATATATATCATTTTGATGTAATTATGTAGGTAGATAAAATCTATTCATTAAATAACAATTTTTTTTAGTTGCTACAAAATAATGGCACCTGACGAGAATATGTCATCGATAAACAATAATGTATGATTGAAAAAGAACTCATTTTTCACAAAGACATATATTCTTGATCTATTTTAGACTATAGTAGCAACATCATCATTACCGTAAGTTTTCTGTAGAGGTATAAGTAGGGATGTACCGCTCACGCTCACGTGAGCGAGAGCGTGAGCTGTACACCCCAGGTATAAGCCGCGCAAATGAACCGTCGTGGCCGTGAGACAGATATAAAAATTAGACTTTTAGATATTTTCAGTCCTTAGAATGATTTTTCTCGGTTAGTCTAATTTAGTTTTCCATTATGACATTTTACATCGTCGTTTTTGTGTACTCAAAAAGTGAGCATACTATAGAATGGGTCAGTATGTCCGTTCGGCCGTTAATCCGATAACTCCTGAAAGAATAATCCAATTTTCATGAAATTTGATACATAGCATTATCTTGTAAATGCCTCGGCCGAGTTCGAAGATGAGCCTGATCGGCTGTACTCTTGCTGACTTTGGGTAAAGTTTTCTCTAATTCCTACATGAAAAACTTGAAGATTTGCGTGTNTGAAAGAAAAACATATAAAATAACACTTTGGTCTCTCCAATCAGAAGTTTTTCTTCTACCTAAACGATTTCTACGTCGATCAGAACGACATTTTAAACCAATGATTAATATTATATTTGTTATTGTTATCAATATTGGTAAAATTAAATTATTTAAACCAATAGTTTCAATAAATATTAAATCACTTAATGAATATTTATGACCATAAGATTTATAATA